TTGCATGATTACACTTTTCAGAGGACCGACTTTTGTATTTAAAATCCTTTTTTTTAATTGAAGATACTTTATGAAGACAGTTCACTTCGTGTATACCGACAGGAGCCGTCTTAGAAAATAGTCTTGATAAGTCGATCCCCGAACGCCGTTCATACAGTTCAGCTCACTCAGCACAACGTTCGTGGTTTGACTTGTTGTGACTGTTTTCCAAAGATGGCTCCTGCCTGTATACGCGAAGTGAACTGTCTTCATAAAGTATCTTCTTATTAAACGGTCTGTACACTTACAAAGTTCTCAATGCTTCGTTTTGCATGTATGGAGCCTCATTATGTTACTGTGGGGCTACTTTGAGCCTTGTTAGTGGTATAAACTAGCGATTTCTTTTTAATTAGTAAATGCCCCCATTACTAGCATTATACGCTAAACAGTTTTTAGAGATAAAAATCTTTACATTCGATTATCATGAAAACAAAATCTCAGAGAACGGTCGACTAGGTACCGATGGTTTATTAGACCAAAGGTTCGTTTTGCACCGGAGTTCTCCTTTAAACTTACCAGCGATGTCAGGTGCCACATGTTCAATGATGTTCTTAACAACCGACCATAGATCCTCGCTTTTGGTTTCAGGAACCCCGTGCACCTTTAAACACCAACGCCGACTGTCTCGCTCAAGTTGCTCAATCCGTGATTGGACGTCCTTGTCTGAAGATTGAAGCTCTGTAATATCTCAGGCCATTTTGCACATCTTCTCCAAGTGCTCATTAGGCTAGAGCATGGCTCACAGTTTCTCCTTCTCCAGATATTTCTAAATTCTTCACCTGTTTTACAACCATCCTTCCTAAACCTATGTTCATATATATATATATGGCTTTGAGGTTTGCTGTGCAATGTAATTTTGTTAGATGAAGAAACCACATGCTGAATAAATTATCATGTTCGTTGATGTATTATTCCTCTCCAAACAAACTTATTTCTGATTATCATTCATATTAAATTTATGGTCAGTTGAGTTGTACCTGTCATGATTGCATCAACCTGCTGTTTTAATGATGGTACACAAATAAAATTGTTACATTTGTATCTGACTAATTTTGGTACTTGGGACAGATTTTTATGGAAGATATGCTTTAATGTGAACCATTTCATGTGTTTCTGACACTCAATCTCTCTATCTTTTTTTTTCTTCATTTTTTTTGTTAGTCAGAAAACAGGGGACAAGTTTAATTCATTTGAAGTACTTGTGCTAAATGTTACACTCTTAGATGTAAGAAAGAAATCCCTATTATCTCTAGCTTTGGCTACTGTATATAGACCGCCAGGGCCTTACGCCGATTTCCTAAAAGAGTTCGCAGACTTTCTCTCGGATCTATTGGTCAACGTCAATGAAGCATTAATTGTTGGAGATTTTAACATACACGTAGATAATACAAATGATGCGTTAGGGGCTGCTTTTACAGATTTATTAAACTCTTTTGGGCTCAAGCAAAACGTCAGTGGTCCCACTCATCGTCTAAATCACACACTCGATTTAATTATATCACATGGAACCGATCCAACTGATATAGATATTATACCGCAAAGCGATGATGTCACTGATCATTACATGGTTAACTATTACGTACTGCTGTAATATGTCAAGCTGTGCCACATTATCGACCGAAGACTCAACCTATCGACGACAATTTTTTATCGAGTGGAGAACGGCCCGAGACCTTTCGAAAGAGACCGCCCCCAGCCTCACGGGCCCAAGCGAAAAAAAAATATATATCTCAGCGAAAACTCATTGTCTCTCAGTGAAAACTCAACCTATCGACGCCAATTTTTTATCGAGTGGAGAACGGCCCGAAACCTTTCCAAAGAGACCACCCCCAGCCTCACGGGCCCAAGCGAAAAATATATATATATCTCAGCGAAAACTCATTGTCTCTCAGTGAAAACTCAACCTATCGACGACAATTTTTTATCGAGTGGAGAACGGCCCGAGACCTTTCGAAAGAGACTGCCCCCAGCCTCGCGGGCCCAAGCGAAAAAAATATATATATATCTCAGCGAAAACTCATTGTCTCTCGGTGAAAACTCAACCTATCGACGCCAATTTTTTATCGAGTGGAGAACGGCCCGAGACCTTTCGAAAGAGACCGCCTCCAGCCTCGCGGGCCCAAGCGAAAAAAATATATATATATCTCAGCGAAAACTCATTGTCTCTCGGTGAAAACTCAACCTATCGACGCCAATTTTTTATCGAGTGGAGAACGGCCCGAGACCTTTCGAAAGAGACCGCCCCCAGCCTCGCGGGCCCAAGCGAAAAAAATATATCTCGGCGAAAACTCATTGTCTCTCGGTGAAAACTCAACCTATCGACGCCAATTTTTTATCGAGTGGAGAACGGCCCGAGACCTTTCGAAAGAGACCGCCCCCAGCCTCGCGGGCCCAAGCGAAAAAAATATATATATATCTCAGCGAAAACTCATTGTCTCTCGGTGAAAACTCAACCTATCGACGCCAATTTTTTATCGAGTGGAGAACGGCCCGAGACCTTTCGAAAGAGACCGCCCCCAGCCTCGCGGGCCCAAGCGAAAAAAATATATCTCGGCGAAAACTCATTGTCTCTCGGTGAAAACTCAACCTAACGACGCCAATTTTTTTTATCGAGTGGAGAACGGCCCGAGACCTTTCGAAAGAGACCGCCCCCAGCCTCGCGGGCCCAAGCGAAAAAAATATCTATATCTCAGCGAAAACTCATTGTCTCTCATTGAAAACTCAACCTATCGACGCCAATTTTTTATCGAGTGGAGAACGGCCCAAGACCTTTCGAAAGAGACCGCCCCCAGCGAAAAAAATATATATATATATCTCAGCGAAAACTCATTGTCTCTCAGTGAAAACTCAACCTATCGACGCCAATTTTTTATCGAGTGGAGAACGGCCCGAGACCTTTCGAAAGAGACCGCCCCCAGCCTCGCGGGCCCAAGCGAAAAAAATATATATATATCTCAGCGAAAACGTATTGTCTCTCGGTGAAAACTCAACCTATCGTAGGGCTGGGCGATATATCGAGTATGTACGATGTATCGTTATATTTTTTGAAACGATATGAAATGAGGCAATACCGTTTATATCGATACAGTAGTTTGATATGAGCACATCTGAAAAATAGCGGAGGTTGCAGTGTGAGCTGCTGCAGTGAAAGTAGCTAGGCTACGTAGTACAATTTGTCCTAAACATGACACAAGCTTATATTAATTGCGTCAAAATCACTTTGATATAGTTAACAAGTTTAAGGCAGCTTGCCGCCCTGTCAAATGCTCTGACAGACACTGTTGCTGACTGACAGATATACTTGCGCTGTTTAATGCGTTTGAGATGTGGTGCTTTCCTCAGTGCTCAACTTACATTTCACAGGTATATTCTCCATCTGTAAATGTTAGAAAGTAAAGCAAATATGTCCATTTCACAACAAATATGTCCATGTCAGAAGAGAACGAGCTTCTGCAAGTGAATCTCCGCTAAAATTCATGCTTCCTTGAACGAGCGCCGGCGCGCGCATGCGCGTGAATAGTACTACGTAGTACGCAATAATTCTGACTAAAATAAACATATTGCTAAAATATTTGTTGTTGGAGAAAATAAATGTGCCATATGTGGAATTTTAAACCTACAAGTATATATTTTTAATGAAAGTGAAAGTGATTATAATGGGGTAATCAAATGCAGGCTAATATAATTAGTTTGTGCGTTTGTTTTTGTTTTTATTTTCATTTTTAGTTTAGCTTTTAGTCAATATAAAAACAAAAGCTTTTTGCACATAATATATTGCATAGCCTATATTATATTTGTTTCCATATCCTTCAATATCAACATTGTTTGTAGGATATCATTGGGCCGAATGTGAATATAAATATATATATATATACGTATATATATATATATATATATATATATATATTAAATATAAAGATTTTCTTTATCTAAATAGAAAACGTAGAAAGTACCGAGATATATATCGTATATCGCCATTTGACCAAAAAATATCGAGATATGATTTTTTGGCCATATCGCCCAGCCCTAACCTATCGACGCCAATTTTTTATCGAGTGGAGACTGGCCCGAGACCTTTCGAAAGAGACCGCCCCCAGCGAAAAAAAAATATATATATCTCGGTGAAAACTCATTGTCTCTCGGTGAAAACTCAACCTATCGACGCCAATTTTTTATCGATTGGAGAACGGCCCGAGACCTTTCGAAAGAGACCGCCCCCAACCTCGCGGGCCCAAGCGAAAAAAATATATATATCTCAGCGGAAACTCATTGTCTCTCGGTGAAAACTCAACCTGTCGACGCCAATTTTTTATCGAGTGGAGAACGGCCCGAGACCTTTCGAAAGAGACCGCCCCCAGCCTCGCGGGCCCAAGCGAAAAAAATATATATATCTCGGCGAAAACTCGTTGTCTCTCGGTGAAAACTCAACCTATCGACGCCAATTTTTTATCGAGTGGAGAACGGCCCGAGACCTTTCGAAAGAGACCGCCCCCAGCCTCGCGGGCCCAAGCGAAAAAAAATATATATATCTCAGCGAAAACTCATTGTCTCTCAGTGAAAACTCAACCTATTGACGGCAATTTTTTATCGAGTGGAGAACGGCCCGAGACCTTTCGTAAGAGACCGCCCCCAGCCTTGTGGGGCCACAATCCTTCCATCCACCGTAGATAATTTCTCAAATTGCTGATCTGTCTCAGCTACTGCCTGAACCCGAACAAACAGATGAACTAGAGGAACTAACATTGGATATTGTCGCACCCATTAGATTAAAAAAAAAAGCACCATGGTAAACAATACTACGCATGTTCTAAAGAGAGAAACCTGTAATTTAGAGCATAAATGGAAACAAACTAACTTAGAGGTCTTTAGAATCGCATGGAAAGACAGTATGTCACGTTATAAAAAAGCTCTATAAAGCGGCCAGGGCTGAGCATCTCCGCAAACTAATAGAAAACAACCAAAATAATCCAATGTATTTATTTAACACCGTGGTTAGACTAACAAATAAACAGACATCATCTGAACAAAATACCTCGTTCCAGTTTAGTAGTAATGATTTTATGAACTTCACTGAGAAAATTGAAAGCATCAGAACCAGAATTGTAAACATTCAATCTTTGCTCGCGCCTTATGATTCAGCCGCAATTATCAGCCCGCAAGAACAACTACGCCGCTTTACAAATATAGAACAAAAATAGTAAAAAATAAACGTATCACTTCATCTAAAACAACAACATGTTTATTAGATCCTATACCAACTAAACATCTGAAAGAAGTGTTACCTATAGTGGATAAGCCTCTTCTCAATATTTTTAACCAAAAACAAAAACCTGTTCTAAAGTAAATGACGCAGTATTATGCGCTTAGATCGTTAGAATAGGGCTGTTAATGTCAGAATGGCTGTGTGTGGGGGGGTTAAACGTCATGAATAATGCTGTGATTCACTTCTGACTGACGCCTCTTCCCATTGTGAACTCTCTTGCGATTGCTAAGAGTTGGCTTGAGTCTGGAACTAGAAACTAGCTTTTCTCCAGTGTGGATCTTCTCATGAGTTTTAAGAATTGATGACTGACTGAATCTCTTGTCGCAGTGTGAACACTTGTAAGGTTTTTCTCCAGAGTGGATTTTCTCATGTTTTTTCAGATATGATGACACACTGAATCTCTTGTCGCAGTGTGAACACTTGTAAGGTTTTTCTCCAGTGTGAATTCTCTGGTGTTGTTTTAAATGATCAGCTGTAGTAAAAGTCTTCTCACACTCAAAGCACATGTACTCTCTCACAGCAGTGTGTATTTTCTCATGTTTATGTAAATATGGCAGCAGTGAAAAACTCTTTCCACACACAGAACATGAATGTGGCTTCTCCTTCGTATGAACTCTCAGGTGTTTCTTCAGGCTCGTTGATCCATCAAATGTTTTGCCGCACTGATCACAAGTGAACGGCTTTACTCCAGTATGAACGCTCATGTGAATCTCAAAATTATCTTTGGTTGTGAAACTCTCTCCACACTGAGTGCAGGTGAATGATTGCTTGGCTCTTCCTCTCTTTAAAAATATATTTGTTGTCTCAGAATGAGTCAAATGTGTTTCCCCAGGCTTAACGTGATGTTCCTCCTCCACTTCACGCAGGTCTAAAAAGAAAAGAAAAAGGGTTCATTTCATTTTCAGCACATCAAAATAATTCAATGAGAGAAATATGAAAGTGAGCCCTGATATAATATCAGAAAGCACTAGAAGACAAGTGCTATAAAATAAGTGTTTTCATAAATGCATGAATGAGGTACATTGATCTTTCACTTATTATAGGCACAAAACGTTTCTGAAGTGAGAACAATTAAATATTTCATGTAATATTAACATTTATACAATACTGGCTATGTTGACATATATTTATATATATATTTGTGCTGTCAAATGATTAAAATATTTAATCGCGATTAATCGCATTAATGTCATAGTTAACTCACGATTAATCGCACATTTTTATCGATTCTAAATGTCTTTTGATTTCTTTTTGTTGCATTATTTTTTTCTCATTTTAATGCTCTTGTCAACATGGAAAAGTGGATCGGCTTGTTTAGTGCAAATGTTTTTTTTATTATTATTATTGAATAACATTGGAATAGTGTTCAATTTCACACTAACAAATAATCTATCACACAATGTAACACTGTCTATCAATAAAAGGGTGAAAGAAATACTGACTTTAACGCCGTTAAAATGGGTTAGCGTTAACGCCGTTAATAACGCGTTAAACTGACAGCCCTAATATATATATATATATATATATATATATATATTTAGCTGAGTCTGTTTTGTTTGGTACAGGCCCGTCATGGATAAATAAATATGGAAATGAAACCACCAGTAGGTGGCAGCAAGTCCATGTCTTAATGAGTAATTTATTGAATCATCCATTCAAACGATTTGTTCATAATGGCTGACTAATTTAGAAAATATAGCTGCAAGCATCAATTACCGGGGCCAAGCGAAATGACGACGATAAGACATGCAAACATGGCTAGGCCATAAGGTGAACTAGGAAAAAGTGGCTAGAAAATGATTTTCGTTCCCACACCTGGGCACTACTTTTTAATATGATTTTTGCATAGATAATACCATTATCGACTTTGTGTTAAAAGTTCTCCGCAAAATACCCTGCAGTTTTTTGTCACAATCCATAAATGTTTATAATTGTGAATTTGAAAAAACGAAAATCTTATGCTTCTGATTTTGTTTGTAACTTTATTTATATACATTTTAGCAACACAAAATATATCTCAAACTGACATTTATCCATGTACCTAAACACTTGAGACTGGTTTTGGTGGATTATATAGTCAAGATTGAATATAGACTATGAAATATGGCACATTTGTGGAAAAAATGCTTCAACTTCACAGACTGACATTAAACAAAATTGAACATAAACATAGTAAATTTATCAAAACTGTGATGTTTTATACATCAAAATGTTCAGTAGGTACTGTGCAATTACAGAAATATACTAATATAAGCACACTTTGGCCATAGTTGGCTAAAATGATTCGAAATGCTTCACTGTCCCCCTTTTTTTTAATGCTGACAATTTTTTTTTTTTTTTTTTACAATTCGACAACAGATATTTTAAAGCTCAAAAGCACCTTAAAATATAACACAGTGGATATTTACTCATCAGTATCATCCCTATCACTGTCAGAGGCATCATCCCATATAGGTCTTTCTTCTGTTTCCTGTGAAACATTTGCACAATTTTGGCACCGACATAAATCAGTACAAGACAGTCTTGCAGACATACAGGAACATCTCCCAGTCTCACATTTGCTTTGCTTGCAACTGCAGTGGACTGCCTGCAACACACTTTCAGGGGCAGGAGTTCTTGTCATCCAGGTCACTGTTAACTCGCCGTCCTCGAGGTGCCATCCATTACCAATGGGTGAGGGGGCACACATTATAGCTTTCAGAGAATGTCTCATTATGGCTGCTTGGTAGTTTGCCCTTTTGCAGTGTTGGTACAGGGCGTCACTTGTCGGGGGCATGGATAGTTCTGGCAAAGCTGACGACGCCATACAGAATGCTTTGTATCTTGCATCGTTCACATTTTCAGCAGATGACTGGCCATACAGGTGGCAGACATATGTGCAAAGTAGCTTAAAGGTAGACTGGTCTAGGTTAAAACTGCTACCCAGCTTTGTAAATGCAGTCAGATATTCCTCTTTCTCACACGCAACAGAAAATGCCTTTCTTTTGCCTTTGCCATAAAAGGCACTTGTAGAGTCACAACCTGAGAAGGTATGGATCCCAATAAGTGCCAAACACACACTTGTGCCAAGAGCTGATGACACCTTAGCTAAATCAATGATCCTTGTTTTGTTGCCAACCCCCGTGAAAAAATACAACCTACATGGTAAATCTGGCTGCAGACTTAAAGCAATCACTGCCACATCAGTATCAGGGCTCTTGATGACTACAGTTTGATGTTCCTGTGCAGCATGTTGTGCATGTAAAAACACCCTGGTGTCACATTCCTCATGATCACATGTCAGGTCGTCAACAGCACTGAGAGTTTGTAAACCCTCCATTACAGACACGCAGTGACACAGGTTTCCATGTGCTATGTACAAGCTTAAGTCCTTGCCCACAATGGTAAGATCAGCCTCTCGCCACACAACATAGAGGAACTCAGCCAGTGCTTCTTTGTTTGTTCCATCTGATAGAAACTTTTTCCATTGTGTTGGTGTCTTCTGATCCCGTCCATAAATTTTCACCAGTTGTGTACCACCACCAGCTCTACGAGACCGTTCTAGGTTTTTAATACTCATTTTCGGATACTGGTCAATCACAAAGTCTATCCGTGTACAGTTGTGTTTCAGAGCAAGCTTGACTATGTACTGCAGTATGGTGTCCGCAAGCTCTCCAAAGGTACTTGGTATGGACCGAATGGTTTGAATGACTGCCATGCCATCAAAAAGAATAGCTCCATCTGTCGGAACTTCGTCAACCAAACAGTCTCCACCTTTGGTTTCCAATAAATCCATTAGAGCTGATTTGTTTGTTTTGGCAAGTGAACCATCAGCAGAGGCTAAAGGATATGACACAGTTCCCAAGGAGTAAGACAGAATTTCTCGCAGGTCTATTTTTCTACTTTGACCTATGACAAGTAATCTGGAGAATAGTTTCTTGTCGGCACGTAGAATCACTTCCTTGCCTGCTGCAGATTTCTTCTTTGTCTTTGCTTGGTCACTAAAGGTCTTCAGTTTTAGTGTTTTGATGGGAGCAAATATGTCAACTGATGGTGATAACAGTCTTTGGTCCATAAACTCTTTGACAGCATTTTCCCCCTTTTCCAGAGCGGCGAGCAAATCCCTCATGATTTCTTCAGCTGCTACTGTTCCAGAGCTAAGACACACAATGCCATCTTGGTGTGTGTCAAAAGGATTCAGCATGGAATCTAGGGTTGAAATTATTCTGGTCACAGCCTTTTCATCAGCATTAATTCGTGTGCTGTCAAGGTCTTTTCGTTTCCTTACATCAAGAGATTTACCTGCCATTGCCTCACATTGTCTTGCTATGGCAGCCCTTTCATGTTGCGACAATATCCAGCGATATACTGCAGCACGATTCTGTGTTAACCCTGTCCAACCACCCTTTGTCTTGGAATCTCTGTTACATGTTTGCTCAATGGCCTGGTCACAGGCAATCGAAGCAAATCCATGGACACTTTGACGTTGAACAGTCCACTGGCCTTTAACACTGAGCTCACTGTGGCAAGAAGGATGAGTGAGGGGCAAATTGACCATTTCCAGCCAGTATGAAGGTAAATACCTAGCATAATTTACACGATCGTACGCAAAAAACCATGGCATCATCAAGCGCACTGTTGACAGGTGAAGCTGCCAGTTCGATTCTCGTGTTGCTCTTACAAATAGAAGGAGAATCTGTACCATGTCGATGTATGAACTCCAGAAGGCAAACGTTGGGTTTTCTGCACTTCTTCTTTTAACAAAGTCTTCATATTTCGAACACATTTTGTCAAATTTCTCATTTGCACACAGAACATCCATTGTTCTGTCCGGGAATGCACATTTGATCTCATTCATGACATCCAGACACTCACATCTCTCCTCTGGTGGCAGAGAATCTAAGAAGGTGAGAAGTCTGATGCGTTGCAGACTCTCATACAGAAGTTTGTGTGCCCTCATACTGCGGTTGTAATGATGACCACTGATCACTCCATTGATGGATCCTGGGGCAACAGTTTCGGACTCGATGAGTATATCTTGCAGTCCTGCATCTCCAAACCTTTTCCCTAGAATACTCAGGTAGGACATGCATGTGTGAAATTCACCTAGTCTAATCACTACACGCTGAGTCAAGTCATCATCTTTCCAGCGGATTTGCTGGGCTTTGGCATATATAGCTTGGTCAAAAACTAACACTATATGGTCCAGTTCAAGCTGATTAGCAATTTGGACACTTCGCTTCAGAATCGTGTTTACTGTTGACATCTCTGTAGGTGAAGCCTCAATGACTGGAAGATAATACAGTGCTGACTTTTGCAGCGTGCTATCACCTTGAAGCAATGTATGGAAACCTGTCCAGCTTGGTATTGTGCATCTTTCAGCATCTATGGACTTTGCAAAAACATATGCCAGTTCAGTTTGTACAGCAGAAACAGTGTTCAATTTGTATGCGTCCGCCTGTAATGGAACACTTTCATGGTGAAACAAGTTCTGTGGTCCTTGTCTTTTAGACTGATGGTAAGGTTCTACAGGGATGCTAGGGGGTGCTTTCAACGAGTAAACTCCCTTTTGTAGAGGTTGTCTGTTTGTTGTTGACACAGGTTCAACTACAGAACTTTGCAACATAATCCCATTTGTGTGGTGGGTAGTTCCACGACCTGACAGTGTCTCCTCCCCAAAGTCAATATTGTCCCACACAAGTACTGTAGGAACCTTCTTTGCGAATCCCTTGGGTATTTTGTCTCTTCCCTCAACTAAATGAAGTTGGGCAAGGCTGGTGTCTAGACTGACAACTGTGTCCCATGATGCACAATGTCCTAGTCTGTTTAGAAGTGACACAATTTGTGATGAACCTGTTAAATGGCGAACCGTTAGACCAAGACACAATG